CCCCAAAACCCCAAAACCCCAAAACCCCAAAACCCCGCGAGGATAAATTTATGATTAAGAGGAGGGGGAAAAGGATTTGTTAATTTAATAGAATAAACTTTAAATTTCTAACAATGAATATCAATAAACTACATTAACAATAATATCACCACTAGCAGCAGTAGAATCAAGTATCTCGCTAGCCTAACAATACTTACCTACTTAACTTCAACAAGCAAAAAGAACTAAGTACACACTCATCTAAAGATTAGATTTAAAACAAGAACAACAAAAGTCTATCTTCTTTACTAGAGTTGGATGATAATTATCTAGGTACAAGTTAATACAAAGATCGCAAGAGCAACCCAATCAGCTCTAATTACAGTTTCAACTAGAGTAGTTCATATAGCGGACAAGCCTAGGTTAATTCTCTGGCTAAGTTGCATCTAAAGAGAAAGATCGTGGGAGTGACAGATCTTCAGAGAGACTAACGCGAACTAGACAGCTTCTTGTACAACTATTCAAATAATAACAGTACTATTACAGCAGCTGTGAAATCTAGAAATATTAATGGATCCATTGCTCTTCCCTAGAGTCAGTCAGTTGATAACAGATTGCAGTAGTAGGCGAGTGTCATGAGCAACTAGATTGATATGATTGCTGGGGGAGGAGCCAGTATTTTGAATAGCAATAACAGGTCCACTCTCAATACTAATCTTCACACAAATGATAACTCCTACATGAACACTATTCATCAGTCTGGCTTTTAGAATTAAAAGTCTCTGGGATCAGGCAACTAAATCATGAAATAAGGAACTGCCATAATCACCACTCGCTAAGATTTTAATGCAGGCGCTAATGTAACAGTGAGTATCCCCACCATTTTGAACAGATCTTCTATTATTGAGGAAACACCTGGTTCCCGGTAAAAAAGACGAAACATTGACTAAGCAAGAGCACAGACTTCTTGCAATACTATAAAAAATAGAAATAGCAAGATTTAAAAGAAAAACATGGATTAATGCTACAACACTGCCAAATCATTTACATATGAGAACAGATATAAGTACAATAGATCTCAGATGGAATCCCAGAGTAATAGAGTACTCTAAAGCAACAGTCACTCTAAGAACGCTCGTTTGAGATTTCTTATGGAGGAAAACGTTATATTCAGAGATGAAAGTGATGCCAAAATAGATCAGGTCATTTAAAATGCCATTAGATTAGAAGGAATTTAAGAATCTAAGGAGTACATTAAATTGCGCAAAGTTATAGAGAAACTAGACAGTAAATTCTTTGGCTAGCATACCAAATTTGAGTTGAGGTTTAACCTGGATCTTGTATTTAGTGGAGATAAGGACATATAGACCTACGATAAAAGCCCCACTGTGGTGGCTCTGAGCTCTGACGATGATCAAGCAACGAACTTCAAGTCAAATATCAACAAGAGTAACAATGCAATTATAGATAGTTTAGCCATAGATGAGAAAATAAATGTGAATTAAAATAACAAAAATCAATAAACCATAGAATAATTTAAGATTGAGGACCAGTCTAATAATTTGAATGATAAGAATGCAGTTTTCCCTAATGATTATGATGATAATATATAGCTAAGATAGTAGCTATAAGAGAGGCAGTCTATTGCCACAACAGCCAATAAGAAAAATATAAAGAAATAGTTCTATAATTGCGATAACATGCTTTTGATTATTGATCTTATTGATAAAGTGCATAAAGACATGAATAGTGAAAAATTTGACTACTAAGCTTATGAGATACAAAAGCTATTTCGCGTGATACTGAGATAGATAAACAACCCTTAAATCAATCAGTTGCTGCATGCTATATCTGTATGGATGATGTTGTGGATTGATTCAATAGATAAGCAATGCCAAAAGTAAATAAAAGTCATTAAGGAATAGTCTCAAGACAATACTTACGCTCTGACTGAAGAGATGAAGAAGAAATGGAAAGATCTGGAAAATGCTATATAGATGGAAGTTGTAAGGAAAGACCAGGAGATTGAAAGGCTCAAATTATCTCTAGAAAGACTTAAGAAAGACAAGGAAAATGTGGAGGATGCACTTCGACACAGAGATAGTGAGCTCTAGATGCTTAATAAAAACCCTGACTATGACAGTAATCATATATAGATGATTTTAATAATGAATTTAGTGTTGAAAGGAATGCTTGAGGAGCTATCAGGCTATTTAGATGAATGCGACGAGCGGACAATGGAATTGAATCCTCAAATAGATTCCATCAGGAACATCGCTTTGCTGATGCAATAATTAGAGATTTAGAAATAGTAGGAAGATCTTTAGAAAGCAGTAATTAGTCATTATCTCAAATCATTATGCTATAGAAAGAAGTGAAGATGATAAACATAAAGAGGAAAAAGAAGATAGAAAAAGCAGTCGATACTTCTAATCCGCCCTCAGCATAGCCACAATAGTCTAATCAAGAGCAGCCAGTCAAGGAAACAGTTGTGATTAGAATTTAGAAAGTTTTCGAAAGAGCACCTACTGCCGATGTAGTAATGAAACATCAGCAAATATAAGTGGAACAGCCGATACAGAAATCTTATACCAATAAAAATGAAAAAAGCCCGAAGAAAAAAGTTCACTATACTTGTTCTAAATGTGGATAAAACAGTGATAATGAAGGAGGCTATGGATTTAATGACTCATTTACTATGTTTCCTAGATCTCCTCTTAAAGGCAGAGCAATTATTGAGCAGGGTGTTTAAACACAGCTAAGTTTAATAAGAGAACCTTTGGCTTCGATGGCTGATCAGATACTAAACACTTAATCGAGAAGAAACACCATAGTAAACAATCGCAAAGTTGTTATCATACCTAATAACGTTCTTGAAGCATAAGCCAAATAAGGCACTTAGAATCTCTAGAAAGGGTTGAATATGAGCTACATGACTAATGGAAATGCATTTACTTAGTCTATTGGAGTTGGAATGGGCTCTAGTTTAACTATTGCTAATATCTAAGAAAGAGGTAATTTGGCAAGTAAGACAAAGCTAGGAGATCCTACTGTGCTAAGACTTGTGGAAAATGCTATGGAGGAGATGGTAAGGTTTGAAATGAATGAGTAGTCTCAATACTAATCTTCAACCACAGTCAAAAAGATATTTGAATTCAAGGAATACCTATTTGACTTTCTACTTACTCAGTATGGACTCAGAAATATTGCATAGAAGAATTATGAGCAAATCCTCTAAAGAATCTATTAGTATGCTGAACAGGATAATTAGTATGCAATAATCATGCTAAATGCACTTGGCAATCCCTACCCGATGAGTCAAAAACTTTGGTCTATTAACAAACAGCATGTAGCTATATTCTCAAAGATAATCTACTCTGATTCCTAAAACCTAACGAAATCATCAAACTACAGAGGAGATGTTTCACCTACTAGAAGAGTGTCAAGAATAGATATCAGCGCTGTAGGTGATGCTTTTAATCATGGAGGGCAAGTTAACATATTTGACTTGATGGATTTGATGTCCAAGTTTGCTCATGAAAATAGTTTACTCATTAAAATGATTCAAAGGCTAAGACCTGGCCATCTGATAGATGATGATGTATCTTCTATAGATTCTGAATTCGAAAATGAGAAGCAGTTCTTAGAGCTAGCATAGATGAAGATCACCGCTAAGTTAGCTAAGTTTGGCTTTGACAATAAGTATTTCATGGAGACTCTAGATTTTAAGCACAAGGGCAAGATGAAGTTCGGTAAGTTAATGCAGGCTTTTGTCGATAGATTTTCCTTGTTTCTTTCTAATGCTGAGTAGATTGCACTGCGCAGGTACTTGCTTGCAAATAATCAGATCAAAGAATCTACTGGCAATGTCAATAAACTTAAATGCAGCTTTAACAATAACAGTAATGCAATTAGTATTGAATATGTATTGCTAAAAGAAGGTTCAAGGTCGCTTGCTAGTATATTGCTGACATCAAATGAATTCTACTCCAAGATCAAAACCTACTACATTTCAAAGTCTCAGTTCATTTAGTTTGTGCTAGATGAATATGACTTCTACATGGAATAGTTAACTAGTGACATAGTAAATCTATTCAAGAAATACGATAACTTTTATAAGCGTGGAGGGATTAACTTGCTCTAGTTCTCGCATTTGATTAAAGATGATTTAGGCTTAGTTGGAGTCGGCAACATGAATAATTTAATTGATGATTCCAAGTAAATTGAGAAGTTATTCAAAGATGCCTTGGAATTTTTAGAGGATAATGATTACTTGAAAAATGATAAATTGCTTGGATTGCAAGCAGTCAAGGAGATTATTTCTGAGAGGAATTTGGAGTCTCTGCCATTCTACATATACATGAAGAGCAAATTCAATAATGGCAAGCAGCTTAAAAAGATGACGTCCTTTGCATCGAATCAACTTTAGATATAAGGCAGTGAGTCTTCAAGTCCTCTAAATAGAAGTGCCTCACCCATGCGAAGAAATACTCTTAGACTTAAGAGACTTTGATAAGAAATTTAAGGATATATAAGATTAATTGATTATTAGGATGTTTGAAGGATTATTATTATTTTGAAATTGATTAAATTGATTTGATCGTCATTTGTTCTAATAAACTGAAGGGGTTTTGGGGTTTTGGGG